TACGCTACCAGAGCTCCTCTTTGGCTCAGCAACTATAACTATTTGTTTTATACTTTTAGTGGTTCCTCTAGGATTGTATTGAATATCTTTAATCATTTTCTACATTCAAATAATATTATGCCACTGTACATAGGTATATAAGAACATTACAACAATATATACTTCACTTTCTTCTTCCAATTTTTTGTGTTATTATAGTAATACACATTACTTATATATGTTGTTGTTGTTGTTATGTGCCATCGAGTCAGACCCAACTCATAGCGACCCATCCTTGAGTTTCCGAGGCAGTATCACTATGGAAGTAGATTGCCCCATCTTCCTTCCGAGGAGTGGCTGATAGGTTTGCACCACCAGCCTTCTGGTTAGCATTCAAATGCCTTAGGCATTATGCCACATGTTATAGACCCCATAAAAATGGTTTTTGCTTTAAATAATTATCTTTAAAGATATTTAAAATGAGAAAAAGTATCTTTCACATATACCACATATTTACTATTTCCAGTGCTATTCATTTCTTTGGGAAGATCTAATTTTTCCTCTTATATTATTTTCCTTCTGCCTGAAGAACTTTATTTAATATTTATTGTATTATAATATGCTGGTAATGGATTCTCTCAGCTTTTGAAAATGTCTTTATTTTGCCTTCAATTTGGAAGGGTTTTGACCAGGTATAGAATTCAGGGCTAACAGTTGTCTTTGTTTCTATTTTGTTTGTTGGTTGTTTTTTTCCATCCAGTACTTTAAAGACGATGCTCAATTGTCCTATGGTTTGTTTAGTTTCTAAGAATTCAGTTGTCATTCTTTGTTCCTCCATATGTGAAGTGTCTTTTTTCTCTGGCTGTCTTGGTGCTAACTCCAGACTTGTAAAGTGAGTAGTGACTATGGGCTGGGATCAAGTCAATTTGTCCTAATCAGATTATCTGTGATAACCACTATTACGTGGCTGCAGGTGACAGGGCAGGGAAATCCTTGGGTAGGCAGGGAGCCCTTGCGGAGATTAAGCTGGGCTCAGCACAGTTATATCTCTAACTCTTCTCTTCTCAGAAGGCTAGACTGGGATGGTAGCAGGGCTGGAATATGAACAAAGAAAATACTAAACACATAGAGAACTTTATATTTATTAGTCTGGTTGAGGGAGCTTTGGTGCTGTAGTGCCTAAGGCACTTGACTGCTAACCAGAAGGCTGGTGGGCTGGTGGTTCAAACCCACCAGCCACTCCTTGGAAGGAAGGTTGGGTAATCTACTTCTGTAGAGATACTGCCTCAGAAACCCTTGGAGGGGTCGCTGTGAGTCGGATCTGACTCAACGGCAGTGAGTTTGGCTTTTTGTTTGTTTGTTTGTTTAGTTGGGTTGAAGACTTAGAAGACTGCTTTTTCTAAAACAAAAATAAGTTGACTGCTCTCTTTTCATGTTACTCACTGTATCATTGATGCCAAAGGAGAAACACCTAATTGTAGCCATGAAGCAAATCCTCCAGAAGACATTTTCCTCTCTTCCCTTGTGGTATGTGCTCAGATTTAGTTTGTGAATGACTCCAATGAATTAGATACAGCAATCAATAGGTATAACCTCCTTTTAGATTATATGCCTTACTGCTAGATGAAATAAAAATGATGTATGACATAGAGGACAAACAACATTCTTCCAATATTCATCACAGAACCTGCTGTCCTATACCCTCCTCCCTGCATTTACACACACACACACACACACATTTGCAGAGTCAACAAACAAGACACCAAAGTCTTCATTTACAGTCTAAGCAAAGTAATAGCTAAAAGCACAGGCTTAAGAATCACAGTTTCTGGGTTTGACACTGGTTGTGTCCCTTACTAGCTGTGTTAGACTGGGTTCTCTAGAGAAACAAAAACCAGTAAAGCTTATGTATATATGTATATA